CAATCCCCCACCTCCTCCCACCAGCAGCAGCAACCACAGTTGCAGTCACCGCCAATGCCACTGCCACCAGTGATGACCTTCAGGGATCGTTTATTGTTCTTCCCTGATTTTGCTTATTTTTTCACAGGCAATTTGCGCCTGCTTCTGATGTGCCTCTCGCTCCCTGCATGTGAGTGTGTGTGTGTGTGTGTGTGTGTGTGTGTGTCCTTTTGGTGTCCTTTTTAACATTTGGCATGCTAAAAATCTGCGCGATCTTAGCCGGAATCCGAGTGGGATTAGAGCATTTATGGCCCTCTCCTCGCAGCCTCAATCCTCCATAAAACACTAAGCGCTTTCCCCTAATGCATCTTTTAGATGCTGTTTCTGTCGACAACTTTTTAATAGAGCATTCCACAAGATGGCGAATGGGCATGAGAGGGAGAGCCTCCCCATTGGCAGCTGGGAAATGCATCCGGATCCAGAAATATCCCATGGAAGCAGCCATCAATTAGCATACAATTAAAGAATGCTTAAACAGGGAAATCAACTTGAAATGCAGCTCCCAGATGCAGCTGTAAGTGGCCGGAGGCTGCGGCTGGGATCAGATCAAAGCGACGACAACATAATTGTTGCTTCACTTCACAGTTTTCGGAGCACACTCAAGACACAGATACACAGATACACAGGCACACACATTGCATATCTGAGTATCTGCTTTTCCCTTATCGTATGTATCTTTTTTATGTCGTTGGGACATGCCGCTGCGGTGGCCTTTGAGAGCCACTCTGACTGCTGGCGCCTGCTAATTGCAGATCTGAGTTGATGGCATCCACTTGAGGACATGTCCACTGCGGAAGTCACTTCCTGATGTCCTTCAGCGGGCTCCGACTATCCCTATCCGTCGTTAATGATAATTCCATGGAGGAGATTTTTGATTTTTGCCAGAATATCTGTACCTGATGCCTGATGCTGAGCAAGTCCGAGACTAATCCACAAATATTGTCAACTCTTTGGCTCTAATCTGCGCGACCTAATCACTTCCCTGAAATGCATAATTGTGCCGTGGCTTTTGATACGCTCCTGGCAAGACACAAAGATTGGCAAATCCCGCTTCAAACAATGCCACGGAGAATGGACAACAAGTAGCGGCGAATTAGCAATCCTATCATGCTTTTATGGCCAGCCCAACTCTTGCCTTGCCTTGCCTTGCCTTGCCTTGGCTCTGGCTGCTGGTCTTCCCTTCTCCCGAATCGTAGGCAGCGTCAACCCCTTTAGGGCGATAATCCTTCTAAATGTTTGCATTAATTTCGAGGCGTGGACGGATTAGGGCGTTCGCCCTGGGCGTTACCCGCAGCAGAAACCGCCGTCCAGGAGGACGCTTGACTGCACCGACTGCGAGGTGCTCGCCGACGACCTGCCGTCTAATCCTTTCGCATTTGCAACTGACTTCTGTGCCAAGTACGCCCCTAATCCCCTGCCCTCCGCGAAGGAGTTGAGTCCCGTTCGGGGACCGCGACAGCGACAGCGACAGCGACTGTAACCGGATTATCGCCGATTACCCCAGATGATCCGCAGAAAGTCAATCTGGTTCGGGCCTAATGAACGCGAAACGACAGCAGCGCAGCCAAGTCAAGTCAAGTCAAGTCAATCCTTTCGGCCCCGTTCCACTCCCACTGCACACAGAAAGAGATCCTTCGATCACGGATCTCTCTGTTTATTTGTTTGTTTTCGTTTGTTTTGAGAATTTCTGGCAATTAAGTTTCGCGATTTGATGCGGGGTCGGGGCCACGGGGGCGAGCGCATCAAATCCGTTTTGGCCATACCTGAACCTGTGTCTTATCCTGCATCCTTTACACAGGCTCTACTCTCTCTTTTTCTCTCTCTCTCTCTCTCTCTCCCTGACTCACTCCAAGGCCGCAAAGTCAACAAGTCGGCTGAGAATTTTCCCTTTATTTGCGTGCATTTTTTATGCCGAACTTTGTCTTCCGCTCATTGCGCAGATGATGCGGGGATTATGCGTTGATTGCGTGCAATTACGACTCCCGAATCCTGCGAAACAGTGCAAACTTCCTGCTAAATCCTTTGAGAGACCAGCACCCCTTTTGTCCAGCCCAAGGACAGCGCGACGCTGTTTGCTGGCATTGCAGCAGCTTGCGTAAAATTTCATAACCCTACGCGGCGGTATGCGGATGCGTTTCGTGGAACGAGCATCCTGGCGATTATCCCCTTTTTACCTCTTGCCAATCCGTTGGCTAAAAAACAGCTCCGACACTTCCGCGAAAGAAAAGACAAATAAAAAACACTGAGAGAAAAGATTGCATACCTGGCAGCATAGATCCTTTTGCCATAACCCACGCAAGATGAGGTCCTGACCGGTTATATAACGGGTTTATATGACGATGGGACAACGATTGGGTATGGCAAGCAAAGGTTAAGAGAGTTAGCCTCAGCTTCAGGTTCAGTTAATTGCTCAGGCAGCCAGCAATTGCCGGCAATTATAAAACAACGCAGATGCGGCGCATCTTTATCGTACTGGGAGTACAACCACTACCAATCCCACCACTCTATAGCTCCAGGATCTGCGAACGGGTGATAAATGTGCGTGATTTGGAATGAATGCGCATCGATTAAAACCGCAGGGCAATCAATTTAGCGCCTTTTACACCAAAATTGGCTTGAACACATCCAATTAATGTCAGCGGGTGAACGCACAAACACAGGCAGTCAGGCAGTCAGGCAGGCAGGCAGGCAGCAACCCCATCCATCCGGGGCCCATCCCCGAGAAACAATTACAACAAAGCAACAAACCACCCACGCCACACAAAGAGAGGAGGAGGGTGAGAGATACATACGTTGGGTAGGGGGTTACAGAGGGAAGCATTCCGGGCAATAAACCTTCAATAAAGCGAATCCAGCGTGAGGCGTCGACGTCTAATTGCTGTTAACTCGTCAACGAGGAGCGCTCCCTCAGGATCCCTGTGCTCCATTTGCTCCCTTTCTGATTAAGTATTGCCGGGGTGGGGCCATCAGATTAGGTGGCAGGGCATCCAGAGTGAGGGAGAGCGACAGCGTGGAAGTTGGGGCGCGGCAAAGTACACTCTTTGCATCATACACCGCAATGAATGAGTGCCCCATAATTGTGACTTTGAGACAAGCGACGGCCATCTTTATGTAGCCATACACTCCCCTGCCCACAACCAGCTCTTTCTACTCTCTTCTTTGCAAACAAACTTATGCTCTTGCTCTCACACTGCACAACACTCACACACACTCTCTCTCTCTCTCTGTCTGTCTTTTTGGTCCGCTCTCTTGCGCATGCGTCTTGGCGCAGAGGGAGACTGCGCGCTGATTGGCTGTCAGGGGGGGCGTTGCTTGGAGCCATTGCGACAGCAGATACATCTGTTTCTGTATCCGCTGCTGTGGGTTCTCTGCCATGCTGCTTTTGCTGTTGCTGCTCTGCTTATGGCTAATAAAGTAAAGCGAAATAAAACGCTACCATGATTGCCATTAATGCCGCAACCATGAATACTAAAAAGTTTTTATGAGAATAAGCTGCAGTTGAGTCGAGCGGGAGTCCGCCGTTTGCAGCATCAGCAGACATGTCAGGTTGATGGCCCAAAAGAACGGACAGGATTCATGTTGATTCATCTGCAGGTGGGCTCTAGCAAACACCAGAATAAATTTAATTTTTTTAAATTTATTTTACATCTCCTCGCACCGAAAGTATGCAACACTTTTATTTATCGTAGACTCTTACGTTGCAAAGACATTTCAATTTTATAGCATCGAGTCATTGTCAGTTAGCAGATGGCAACAGTCTGGCAGCATCTACAAAGGCTTGGCGTTGACTCCCTTAAGTTTTTAAAATGTATCAAATGTGTAGTTTTCATGTAAAATTATCACTTTTTTGTTGACCTTTTTTGATTAAACCATAGTTTTAAGTATTCCAGTGGTCAAATAGTCTTCAACTCTAGCCAATGCGCGCTCATGCACGCTATTTTTCTAATTATTCAATGTTATCAGTTAATATACATGTGTCTCTACATACATTTACATACTGAAGAAAAATCTTTCTTGCTTCCAGAAGGGGGGCTCTAAAAAAAATTCAAATACAAATTTGTAAAATATAAGGTCATAAGGTATACATCCAATAAAAAGTAGTATTTATAAGAAAAAAATTTGATTTTTCACTGGGATTAAAATATTGTTTAAGTCTTAAAAGTCTTTGAAAGCAAGTAATATCAAATAGAACATAAAATTCGAAGAATAGTGCTTGTATATGCATATTTGTGTTGGTATATTTCTGTGCTCATGCTAAAAATATGCTCTCTGTGGCATGTGATCCCAAGGTATAGCAAGCAGGTAAAAAAGGAAGAGCTTTTCAAAGCTCCCACTTTTTTCGCACCTGTTATAAGGATCCTAATAGTACATGTGAGAGCGTCTGGCAGGAGAGAATTTCCGTGACGGTTTAGACACAGGAGAGGATTTCCCTGGGAGAACTTCCCACGTAGGATTCAAATCGACGGTGTAATTTACCTGCCACTGAACATTTTTGGGACGTTTTTATCTGAAACCACTCCGAGCTTACTATATTGGAAAACAATGGAATTTCTTTTCCTCTTTTGTTGCTCGCGGTATTTTTCAAACATTTTCAATGACATCAGTTAACATACACGTGTCTCTACATGTTAAATACAATTACATACGGTTTACAAAGCTTCCTTGCTTCCAATTGGGGTGATTTTAATATTTGAATTTGTAAAATATAAGGTCATAAGGTATACAAACCAATAACAAATATAATTTAAAATACGTAAAATTGATTTATAAAACGGATTTAATTATTGTTTCAGTGTTAAAAGTCTTTGCAAGCTAGTAATATCAAATAGAACCTAAACATCGAGGAATATGATTCAAGAATACGGTATATTTACGGTATATTTGTACCATGGAAGGTATAATTCAATATATTTTTAAAGTCAGGCGGTATATTTGATCGACAAGACAAAATGGTCACTGGTCATACTGGTGCGGGGGGTGTAATTCTGCGGTCGCGAGTTAATATTATTAATCAAAACCGTGAACAATGTGATACAGTTTCGCCTGCCTGCGGCCAAAATGCAAACGCGGAAAGCACTCAATTATTAATGCCACTTGCAACAGTAGCAGCGAGCAAAAGTGAAAGTATTTGCATACCGAACGGAGTGGGTCACTAAGGAAGAAGAGGAAGGAGAAGCATAGGCAGACAAACAAGCGAAACGAAGCGGAAAAGAGGAGAAAATCGGAAATAAAGTGCATTAGAAATAGGTTAAAAATCACTGCTAAATGGTCAATTTGAATTAGTTAATAAGTCCCGCCAGTGCAATTTATATATGTGACGAAAATTAGTGTTTTGCCGTGCAGAGAGTGGGCGAGTGAGAGCTGGAAAGAGCGAGAATGGGCACAACAAAAGAGCAACAAAATGAAGGCGACGCCGCAGCAGCAGCGGCGGCCGTGGGCGCCACCCACACAACACCAACGCAACATCAGAGGCGAGAGGAAGAAGAAGAGAAGGCGAAGACGCTGCCCACACCGCTAGTGGTAATCATTCCTGCTGCCCAGGGCTCGACCATGGCCACAAATGCCGCCAAAAAGATACGCCGCGCCTTCTCCATGCCACGCAATCCGTTTCGCTGGTCGCGCAAGTTCAAGACGGCGGCCGCAGCGGCAGCACTAACAACAGACGTGGAGTCTGGAGCCGGCAAGGATAAAGCCGGGGAGCGTCGAGGCAGCCATACGGCCATTTCGTCCTGCGTAAGCGGCGGACGGGGACGCAGCGGCAGCATTGTCTCGCTGAGCAGCTACGAGGCGGCGCCTGGAGACGCGTCAGCCACCACCACCACCAATACAAATGCCAATTGTAACAGCAGCAACAACACCAATAACAGTAACATTAACAGCAATAAGCGGGCACGTGTTCTGCGCCGTTCGTCCTTCAAGAAATTTCTCAATCGCATTGCCCAGCATCTGAGCGCAACGATAAATGTTGGAGTAAGTATTCGATTTGTATGTGTAATTACTCTCCCCACATTAGTGGTGTGGTGGGACATGCTCGAACATGAAACTTTGCCCCTCTTTCACCTTTCTTTCTTTGGTTCCTTCTTTGTTCTGCTTAGGCTGCAGCTTCTAGCTTCGTGCTCGCCTGCTGGTTCTCTTATCAAGAGCAATATATTTATAAAACGGCATCCATCGCTTAGTGCGTTATCGTTGACTTTGTTTTGCTCGTGTCTGGTTTCTGTGTATTCTTGCCTCTCTTTGTGCCTCCCCCACACTCCACAGTGCACACTACCCGAGCGCACTCTACTCCAATTGGGTTCGGCATTTTCTTTTGTGCAATTCTCTTGTGCATATTTGAATATTTTGAACAGAGCAGAAACAATACGAGTTTTCCTCCGCTCCCGCCACCCACTGGGTAGGCCTGCCTCAAATCGCACTTGGCCACGTATGTTTTATTTTCCATACTACCCCTTCCCACTACTGAGTCACATTTTGCGTGCTCGATGATAACAGAGCGGTACAGCGGCACGAAATGCGGCTTATTGGGACTTTGGATCGGGCTCTCTTTCTCAATGCACTTTTGAAGGTGCGTCAGGCCTAAAGAGTATCCAGAGTATTCCTTAATCTATATGGTCTGGGGCCACTCTTTGTTTTGCTGGGGGTGCGTTGGGAGTACTTTGTCTATACACGATCAATGTACAGTTGCATTCCATTCGATATAAATCCTTTGTTTATACAACTATAAATAATTTGTTGTTCCTTTTTTTTCCCGAAGTGTATAGCAAACGCTCTTCTTCATCGTTCTCAGACAGAATTTAATTTACAATTACCATACCCGAGGACGGAGCATGGAAATTAATTTTATTTTTGAACAATTGCTGTCTCATAATTATCATAATTTTTGTGTTTCTGTTTTGCTTGGCCTGTGTGGAGAGAGGGGAGCGTAAGGTAGCTGTGTGTGGCTGGAGCGTGAAGGTGGGGAGATAAGTGGAACGGGAGCTGAAGCTGTAACTAGGTGTAGGTGGGGGACTTTTGCCTTTTGTTTCGCAGACAACAATTGTTCAAACAATTTTTGTGTAAATGTTGCCAGCATTTGTTGCTCTGCCCTGTTCGTGCTATAATAAAACAAAAATTCAAAAACAAAACAGTCCCTGACTCCAACAAACGGCAACAATACTTTTCAGGTCGAAAGCTGTTGGAGCAAATCCGCGCCAGAAAAGAGAGACAAAAGTTTGCGACAGAGTGGGACCCAGAGGGAGGCACGAGTGGAGTCGAGACTAACCGACTGCTGGGCTCCCGACAAGGCGCTGGCTGACAAATGTGTGCCACGCGCTTGTCAGGAAAGCAAAACAAAAGCGAGCGAAGACAAGTGCAGGGCGCCATGGCACACTGAATCCCTCTCCTACACCTACAAACTCAATGGAATTCAATTTTATCTAATAATATCACATCATACATGTACATACATAATACGCATACACAAAACAAAATTGTTGTTGTAATGGGTTGATTAATTGTGGGGGGCAAGACCTTAGGAACGTATTGCAGTTGACCTTTTTGAGTTGTGAATTCCAGAACAGAACGCTAACTGCATACGAAATCAGTCAGAATTTCATTCAAAGCGCAGTGCAGCGAAAGGGATGGTGAAGGGGAGGGGAAGAGCATGTAATGCTCAATGAAAACAACCGTATATCTAGTAGCTGAATGCCAGAAGCCGATATCAAGTGTACAGTGGAAGCTGCAGTAAACTAAAGCTCAGCTTTAACTGTACTTGTTGTGCAGTTGTTGTTTCTTCCGTCTTTTTCGGGCACCTTTCACCGCTAGCAGCAGAAGAAACAGTAGCAAAAGCAAATCGGCAAACAACTACAACGTACTATTGTTGTTTTTTTCTTTTCCTTTTTTTTAATGACATTATGAGGCAATTGCCCATTGTTGCTGCTGTTATGCTTCGCCACTACGCTACTGCTGCGAGATTACCTCATGAAAAACAATTGCTGGCACTGATTATGATTCATGCCTCAGGCATTCCTCATCTCCCATTGATTTTATTCAAAAGCTCAGCTCAAAAGCGAGAACAGCGGCAGGGCACCAACAACAATAATCTGCCTTATTAAAGATTGCATGGCAAATATGGAAAATAGCAACAAATGAATGGCAATGACGTGAAGAAGAACGGATGAGTGTAGAGAGAAAAGGTGAACAGAGAGCGAGAGAGAGAGTGAGAGTGAGTGTAAAAGTAAAAAGTGACACTCTGTGAAGACGATCTCTTAACACGTGATGGAGGAGGAACACTGATATTATATGTACATACACAGGTGCACAGTACGTACATGAATATGTAATGTACAGTTTTGTGCAAGGTGCATTGCATGTAAGGTGAGGGAATTAATTTTTATACACTTTGCTTGCTCTCTCTTGGTTTATTTTTTAACTGGAGCTGACCCAAAATATGCAACCGGTCTCCGCCAATAGCTCACTCTACTTTCAATACACCTTGGATTTTGTCTATTTCCGTATGCTTTGCAGCCACCCACGAAATTGTGGCTAACGTTGCGGTTGCTGCTGCACTTGTTGATGGGAAGATTAGTACGTAACTTAGCCCGCTTCCCTCTTCCTCCTTCCAGCCACACCCACTCCCCTTGCGTGCTAGCTAGGAAATGTCTGTTTGTTCCGCTACTGTTTGCTGAATTTCTATGATATTCAAGTGCACGATATACTACTGTGTACTACTATTGCTGCTACGGCAGCATGTGATAGCAAGGGGGGAAGCGGAGGCGGGAGGCCTTTCGCCTATTTGTATTTCCGCTGTTTCTGGCTCACACGTAACTGTTTGTTGTTGCTACAGTACAACGCTGCGAATCGCTGTCTGTTGTTGCTGTTTTTGCCTTTTTCACGGGGGTGTGGTGGGGGTATTGCCTCGCACGTTTTGCACTCTCACGCTCTATCGCTCTCTCTCCCCTGTTCTTGTTCTCTCTCTCTCTTTATCTGAATTATTTTCAAGGTAAAATCAATTGAGATCAAACTAATTGAAAAAATGTTTTTAGAATTTTTAGAGTCTGCATTTATTTTCGCATCTCTGCCGCTCGCAGCATGTTTATTTTCATAAACAATCATATCATTTTTTTCGGGTGGGTCTGTGGTACACTCCCGCCCATTAGGAGGAGCAGGGGATAAATAATGTTTTCAGTGGTGCTTAGGCTGTCCAATTAGCCGTTGCTTCCATCACTCTTTGCTTTTGTTGTTGTCCATCCGTCTGGCCAGCAACCGAAATTATTCACGTCACTCCGCGGTAATTACTCTCTGTCTTTGTCTTTCCTTTTGATAATCCCCAACACCCCACCCCAGTCCCTGTGATATATGGTGGATATTGTGGAGCCATATAAAGATTGTTAAAGCTGTCATCAAAAGGTCTACACTCTCGCTTGGGGCGACCCTAAAACTGAGGCTAAGTGAGAAGGTGCAAAATGTATGCCCCATCTGTAGGCCAGAAACCTATTTGCCCTTGCCCAAGGCCCGGGTCCCTGGGAATACTTCAGTCAAAACTAAATTTAGATATCAGTTGGGTAGACAGAAGTCATGCGTATTTATCTTTTCCTTTCGTAATATGTACTCAAAGTATCATAGGCGTAAGACATTTTGAATTTCTAAAAATATTTCGGGTATATCCAATTATGTATATTATTTATTGATTAGTCCTGAAAAATAATTTCAATTAATCACTTGTTCTTTTGATTGATAATTTGTTCAAATATCCCTACAGTTGCGTTACGCACTGTACATTATGTAGATATGGGGCCCATATACGTGTATGATAAGCATTTTATATATTTCCAAGGTGGCCTGATTATAGCTCCCCATTGTAGACCCCAAGAGACAACCTTGACAAAGCTTTTCCGTTCTCCTCCACATCGTAATCGAGGCAACCAAAAGGGGCGTGGCACTTTCAGTGCACATCGCAAGTTGCTCGCCACGTGCGAGAGCGCCTTTACGTAAGTAGATCTCAAAAACAAGATCTAATTAGCAATGTTCTGGAAGAATGGAAAAGGAAAAGGTAGGCGGAGCAGACACTTGATTAAGCCGATAACTAAACTATATCCTAATCTCCAATGTTTGTCAAATGATTGCGTTTTATCTGAGAGACAGACAAGACGAGATTCTCCGAATCACGTCCATGCTTATGACGCGATCGTTATACATAGTATGTATGCATATGTGTGTCACGTGATCGATCGCCGTAGCAAAACTTTTGCTTCAGAATATACTTATATGCACAGAAAATACCCCGCCGGACTTGAGGGAATTTTAAATGCGATTTTATGATTAGGCGACGCATGACAAACGACTGTCGATAGGGAGAACCATGCAGAGACAATACATAGGTACTGAAAGAGAGTGATCGAGAGAGGTCTAACGCTAATAATAGTTTGTGTGTCGAGTGGCTCCATTAATAAAATGCGGTCTAACCGGTAGGAGAACCTAGTCACAGACTCAGCCGGGATGGAGGGGGCCCAAACCAAAAGCCAATTTCATTCATGTTCGAAGACAAGATCTGGGAAATAATAATAGCGTCATGCCAGCAACAACAACAACAGCATGACCCATGCAATTATCTTCAATTATTTACAATTATTTAATAAAAACGTAATCGTAACTGCAAAAACATTAACAAGAAATATATTTGTTGTTGCCCTTTTTGTAGCTTTTCTTTCCGTTGCGGGTTACGTAAAAAGTAAAACAAATACTCGAGAATGCAGTGCAGTGCAATATCTATAACAAAAATGCTCGCAAGTTATCGCGATCTTTCGTGTGGGGGGCTGGCTTATCACGAAACACAATTGGAATTTTCTGGGGCCAAAAAATATGAAAAAAAGTGAAATGAAATCAAAGGAAACCGAAGCCGAAAAGAATTCGAGACTTAAGCTTAATTCGATCAATTTGTTAACTGCTACCTAACTGTAAACAAAGCGTACACAGAGTTCGGTTAATGTTGCTCGAAGCATCTATTACCCTGTAAAGGAAGATATGCTAAGGGGTAGAAAAGGTAACAGGGGAACATTGCGGCAACTGGAGGCGAATGGCAAGTTGAACTGGGAAAACAACGTCTGCTGCTAGACTATGATATGTTGGACTATTCCACAGAAGTAGCCATACACCATACACCATACACCATACACCAAACAAAACCTGACACCACCCTGGGATATACATAAACATTTTGGGATGGGGTGCCCACTTGTTGGAGACTTCAAATGCAAACAAAACAAGCCAGAATGTGCTTAAATTTATAAATAATAATGACGATGACGATGCCATGCCGCTGACGATGTACATACAACATTTGTATGTAGATGATGATAAAATTGCTGCCAGGGTAAATTGAGACAAGTGGCCGATGGCTACTTCTATGCCCTGTTTGCGGCTCAATTAACAGAAGCTGAGGCGGGGGTACTCGGACACGGCACGAGGTATGGAAAGAAAGGAGAAATTTGAACTGCGGCATACGGCATACGGCAACGGCATACGCGTCGTATGCGCAACATACAAGTCTCGAAGTCTGGATCTCCAGCTGTGTGAGAAATGCTTCACATGGCAGCCGGACCAACAACGCGATTAGGTCAGCAGCAGCCACAAACAAACATTCATATAATATGTATACGTATAAAGAATGAACGCTGAATACACATTTATACACCGAAAGAAGATCTGGACATGCGTTTGTGGCAACTTAAAAATTCCATTTAATTTATTTGCCACAGCCCCGATTGCCGCTCGGCTGTGGGCTCCTCGGTTTACATCACCGTGGAATGGGACTTAATGGGGTTTGTCTAATGAGCAGAGCTTGTGCTTAAATGCAAAACCTTTTCGGCTTAACGCCACGGAGCAGGAGCTCTGGCGCCACTCATATTCCCAAACAAAATCCGCTTATCGAACGGAACGGTTTGAAGGTCAGTCCAGGGCTTGGGACTTTAAGTTTGCCACAGATGTTCGAAGTGCTTTAAATTGTGCCTCAAGTTCATGCCCTTTTTGGTGGCATCTGCCTTTTGTCAGACACTAGAGCAGCCACTTGGCTGCCATTCAATATAGTTTCTCTTGCTCCTCCAAACCATTTCGAATATGGCAAATGTCGGATGGAGCAGGCAACCGTCAGTTCAATGTCAATTTTCTTTGGCAACAATATCTGGCTCGGAAACAATAACATAATGGATAGGGTGGAGGTGTCTCAGGGCGAACTTTCTATGCGAACTTTTGTGGGGAACCTCTCAAAAATATCTATGCTAACCATACGCTATTTGAACTGTGCTTAATTGCTCTTTGAACTAACATTTCGATTCCCCCACCTTTACGTTTGCTGCATCTCCAAGTCGGAGGAGCAGAACTCTGCCGCCGCAAGTCGTGTGAACTTGATAGACATCGTTCCCTTCTACACCGGATGCTGGCGCAGGAAAGAGGTATAAATCAAGAACACATTCACATTCAAAGTACAGTGCATCGCATGCTGGTAATGTCATGATCATCGGGAGTAAAGCCGGTAACCCCCACACGATAGAGATCCACACACCACGCCCACCCACCAGCTGACAACCCAAAGCGATTTATTTCTTTATTTCTTACTGCTTTTTGTTTGGCCAATTTACTATTTGCCATTGGATTTCTTTCTTTCTTTCTTGTTTTGGGGATCTCTGATGCGTGGGTTTTCGCTTTCAGCAACAAGACAAAAAATTGGTAAAAATATAACCGGCTTTGTATTCGATTTGTGCGCCGCTTTTGCTGGTCTCTGTCTTCATCTATGATTTGCTTCTCTATTGATTCCATTATTCGTTCAGTTTTTGTTTCTTTTTTGTAAGTTTTGTTGTTGTTGTACCTTGTGAGCTTTGGCATCGATTTGCTAGACACAACTATGACGCTGTCATCTATGGCCCTGTCTCTGGGTCTGGTTCTCTCGCTTACTCACCGTTGGTTTGCTGCTTTTTGTTTTCTGCCTCCGTCATTCGGTCTTTCACTTCCTACTACACATAAAAACATCTGTGTGTGCATACACGAAATAAGCCCACTTAGCATTGACCGCAGACCCACCATTGCAATCGCATCTTCATGCAACCCATACGTACGTCGCATGCAACAGACCCCCAATGACCTTTAACCATTCGCTGCCCCGCAGTTTTTCGCTTTTCGCTTCGCACTGGCGGTTGCCAATTTCATAATCCACAAAATTTCACTGCCGTTAAAGGCACTCAGCCCCACAGCAATAGGCACAGCCACCAGCCCCAGTCTTAGCCTCAGTTATAGCCCCACATTTCATTTGATTTCGTTGCGATTCGTTTCCAAAAAAGCATGTTTATAATATCGTAAATCGTACCCCCCAAACTACCTCTCTTTAGAGGTGTTGCTCCAGTTGCATTTAATGCGAGTACAGTGAACACACAAAGCAGGTGGACACGCCCAGCAAAATGTGGAAAATTCCCAAGAATATTCTTTATTTTGCTCAGTTTTAAAAGAAAGTTTCCTTTTTATAATATTCTTTTGTTTTTCGAACATAGAATATTTTAAGAATTTTATTTTGATTTTGTCTGTAGCTTCTTTTCGGAGAGTGGAACTCAACCTATTGGACTTTCGTTCCTTGGTTTTGACGTGATTTTCCGCTGTGGATTTAAGACTTTAAGTAACTTAAAATCTGTGGGATTTAATGGCATAATCGTTCTTATACTTTTGAGATAAATTCTAATGGAAAATTTTCAATTTTTAGGCTGTGGATGAACTCTCATTGCGTGACTCAATTCGAAATGCTATTCCTTTGATCACTTGAGCACACAAGTCTTTGTAGTAAATTGATCCACTCACACTCACACTCACACACACCACAAACACACATCATTGATCCTCCACGTTTGCGTAGCTCTTTAGCTATTGTACGATTATATTTTGTGTTCAGAAATGGAGATATGTATGTGTACCGATAATGGATTCGACAAATATTAGAATAAGATATGTCTTTGGAATTAATGTACAAACACTTTGCATAGTAGAAACATTGTATAATTATTATAATTATGATTACGAGGAAATGTTTGTTTTCATTAAATTTGTTGTAGAATCGTCTCATTATCACTGCCTTCTGCCACATGCCATCTTTGTCTGTCAGTGCCGATTAAGAGCATTTCAATATTCGGCCTCTAGTTGGGTTTGCCTTTCTTTCTTGTTCCTTGTTGTTGGTTTTTATTTGAATTTTCTTATTTTTCAACTAAAATATTTCTTCATTTATCGCAAATTGATGTCCGAGAGCTGCGCTAAACAATTTTTAATTGGCGAAATTGAAACCCATTTACTCTCCAATCCACCTCACCCCATCCAATCCGTTGCTGGGGCTGAGGCTGGGCTGACAAACGGGTTTCTTTCAGCCATCAATTTGTTGTACTCAACAGCAACTAACACAATCTCTCTCTCTCTCTCTCTCTCTCTCACCTTCCCCAGGCGAATAAACACCGGCAAACGAATGGATTGGGGTCGGCGAGCAGCGGCGGCGGCGGAGATCGAGTGCCTCCCATTGGGGGATATCAGTGGCCGCCGGATCAGACGCCCGGAGTGATGGGGCTGAAGAATCATGGCAACACCTGCTTCATGAACGCCGTGCTGCAGTGCCTCAGCCACACGGACATACTAGCCGAGTACTTTGTTTTGGATCAGTACAAGGTAAGTGATTGAATGATTCGTTGGACACTGGAGGATAACACTTCTAATACTCACTCTTTCCCCGCCACAGGCTGACCTTAAGCGACGCAACAAGATCAATTCGCGAAAGTTCGGCACCAAGGGAGAGCTCACCGAGCAGCTGGCGAATGTGCTGAAGGCCCTGTGGACATGCCGCAATGAGAGCGACCACAGCACGGGCTTCAAGGCGGTGGTGGATCGATATGGGACGCAGTTTCGCAGCTCAACGCAGCACGATGCGCAGGAGTTCCTTTTCTGGCTGCTGGACAAGGTGCACGAGGACCTCAATACGGCCAGCAAGCGACGCTACAAGAGCATCAAGGTACGAGGAAATCAAATCAGAATAAAATCTGTGCTAATATCTTTTATTTTTACCTCACACACAGAACTCCTATGGCCGGTCGGACGAGATCATTGCCGCCGAGACGCTGGCGAATCACATCCGATGCAACAACAGCTTTGTGCAGGCCGTGTTCCAGGCCCAGTTCCGCTCCTCGCTGACGTGCCCGCGCTGCAAGAAGCAGTCGAACACCTTCGATCCCTTCCACTGCATCTCCGTGCAGCTGCCGCAGCTCACACAGCAGACGATCTTCGTCACGGTGGTGTACATGAAGCAGCAGCCGCGACAGATCAAGATGGGGTTGCGAGTGCCGGCTGGATCACCGATTGTGGCCCTGCGAGAGCAACTACAGACGGACACGGGAATTGCTGGTTCGCGCATGGTGCTAGTGGACCTCAATGCCGAGGGATTCACGCATGTCTTCTATGACACGCAGCCGGTGGACACGCTCAGCAGCATTGAAAGCATCTACTGCATCGAGGTGCCGGAAGCGGAGACAGAGAGTTCCAGACCCCAGCCAAAGACCGCCGCAACCCCAAAGGCCTCATCCTCCCCGTCGGCGCCCGAAGCGGCAGAGAAGATCACATCTGCCCCTGCTACATCAGCTGCCCCACAGGCAGATCTACTCCTCCTAGTGGCCAACGTTTACAGAGCAAAGGATGGCAAGGACATGACCCGATTCGGGGCACCATTCAGTATGAAAGCGCCGCGTGACTGCTCCTACCAGGATCTGCAGAAGCGGATGCTGCGCGAGATGTCGCCGCTGCTCAAGCCGGAGGTCTTCTCCTATGCCACGCCGCTGGCGGATATGTTCCGCATACGGCTCCAGGACCCCTCCGCGGACCCTGACACCTACCTGGAGCAGGTGGAGCATCCGCTGCTCACCGAAATGATCGACATGGCGCTCACAGTGCTCGCCTCGGAGGCGGGGCCGCCGCACATTAAGCTTCTGCTGGAATGGAGCTCGCCCGAGGAACACTTCCTCGCCCGCCAGCAGGAGACCGACGATGAGGCCGTAGTCGAGCACGAGAGCGTGGCACGGCTAAGCGCGAGCAAGGCCAAAGATACCGCCGCGCTAACGCTGGAGCAGTGCCTGGAGCACTACACCAAGGCGGAGACGCTTAGTGCGGAGGACGCCTGGCGCTGTCCCCATTGCCAGCAGTACTTGCCCGTGGTGAAGACGCTGGGCCTGTGGTCGCTGCCCGATATTCTGGTGGTGCACTTCAAGCGCTTCCGCCAGCACCAGTCGAAGGGTCCGCAGGCGGCAAAGCTCACCACGATGGTCAAGTTCCCGCTAACCGCCTTCGATATGTCCCCCCACCTGGCCAAGGGTGTCCACGAGAGTGCAACCAGCAGCTCCCTGGGATTACTGGACGGCGGTGGTCGCGGCTCTAATCTGTGGAAGCGGGCCCGCTCCGGTGACTCGCGCTCCTCCACCCTCAACTCTCGCTGCGACCCCAAGGACACGCGGTACGATCTGTATGCCGTTTGCTACCACCAGGGTGATACTCTCGAGACGGGCCATTATACGGCGGCCTGCAAGAACCCCTACGACCGGCAGTGGTACAAGTTCGATGACCAGCGCGTCAGCAAGGTGCCCGAAGACGACATCGAACAGGACATCATCAATAACGAGGCGTATATGCTGTTCTACCAGCGACGCAGCGTCGATGTCGCGGAATGTTCCGGATCCAGCTCAAACTCTGGGGATCACTGGGTCTCCCGCATTGCCCCGGCACCAGCTTCGGCAACCTCTTCATCGGCCGCCTCAACATCTGGCAAGGAGAACGACGGGGCTATCAAGGCGGATGCGGGCTCTAGCGAAGTGGCCGAAAGTGGTCCTGCCGCGGAGAAGGCTCAGTCCAAGCCCGTGCATATTCCACTTGTGGGTGAAGAAGGTAAGAGAATGAGCTGCATAAGCAACCGTTGCATGCATATTAATCTGTATGCTTTCAGTTGCTCCCGAAATCACAGAACCTGCGGTACAGGAGGAACCTAAATTTGCCGCCCACGAACTGCCCCTCAACATTGAGGAGTTGGCCTTTGCCGATGCCGATGCGGATGTTAGTTTGTGTGAAGATACCAAGAATGAGAGGATTGAAGCTACACCAGAGCCAAGCCCAATAAGTGCAGCTGCAGCTACAGAACCCAAAGCTGCTGCGGCAGCGGAAGCAGCTATTGAAGAAGTCACGCACATATTTGCCATGGACGAGGAGCAGAAAGAGGAGCCCATGGATCTGTCAAAGGTTATAAACGGTAGCGAAATTCTGCCCGAAAGTCTGCCTATCGCTGAAGTGGTTCGGACCAATGGCCATGTGAGTCCCTCCTCTAGCTCGGCATCGTCGGAGAGCTCGCTCTCGTCGCGTTCCTCGCCACGTTCGCTTACCACATCCGTGACGGCGACATCTACGCTGCAAAACAAACTCAATGGCCACATGAACTCCGCATGCTCAGGCATGTTCAATGGGAATGGAAATGGGAATGCGACTGTGAATGGCACGCACCCGCAGCTATCATCCAGCCTGCAGCTCACGCGGCAGGTGCTGAGCAACCATAATTGGCACGGATCGCGGAGCAGTGTCTCGGCTGTGGAGAATGCCACACACCAGCAGCAAAAGCAGCAAGCGGCGGCGGCGGCTAGCCTCAGTCTGCGGCACTCCTTCTCCACCAGCTCCAACTACAAGCTGCGCGAGTGCACCGAGACGCTGTCCTCGCTGCTGCGCAACTCGACAAATACGTGCAGCAAGGACACTTTGCTGTTTATTGATCAGCAGAGCCATCATCACACGTCAGGCCTGATCGAGGATGACGATGATTCGTATATGGGAAGATCCTTGTGGGTGAGTTCCACTCTAACGAGAAATTCATTTTTTCTATTGAAATCTTACTAAATGTCGCCTTCAATGTATATTCCGCAGATATCCCCAGTGACGCCACATAAACTGATTACAGTTTCGCCCAAGAATTAATTTGCGCCGACGAAGAACACACAAAACACAAGCAGGAAGCAGGATGCAGACACACACACAAAAACGCACTATAGCCATAAGTCTAAAGTTTACTTTATATTGATATTTCTAACGTTTAAGAGAACGATCGATAAGCATTACGAGGACGTTATACAACACGGTTTACTTTAGTAGGATATATATTATATATACATACATATATATACAAGATAATCCGATAGCTGCAATATGGCATTACGTGGTAAAGTAGAGAGGAAAACTTCTCTAGGAATTCATTAAGCTTAAGTTTATTTATTTTAATATGATGGCCGTTTCTAGAGCCAACGACGAGAAGGACTCTTGTTCATATTTTACCACTTGACATTGCATTATATTCTGTATAACTACAACATTAATTACTAAGCCAAACAAACAGTGAAGTACAATTTCGATTCGTTTCGGTTTAGTTCCCCACGCCCCCACACACATTTCGCCCCTACCAGTACAAGCTTCTCTGTATAGATATAGTACTCCTCCATCCATTTCGGATGTGTATCGATGAAGTGCTTGGCATTACCAATTAATTTTAGATCTTTCTTTCTACACGAAACCAAGTTTCAAAGAACATTTCTCTACGTATAGATACCTACAGACAACCTCGTATATAGATCTACCTTTATTATTCTTCAATTACTTTTGTACACTTTGAATTGCCATTTACCAAACGATTTGCCTAAAACTTGCAAGATTTGTAAGCACACACGAAAAGGCCCCATATATCTATGTATGTATTTCTTTCGATTCACATTGGTTCTATATACCAGATATTAATAATATTAATATACATTGTATGTACATGTATAGAATGTATACTGAAACATATTACTTTATAAATAGTGTATTGTACATGTAGAAAAAGCATTACACCAAAACATTATATTGATAACAAATGTTTAAAGACTCTATGGCATTGTTTTTGCAAAATGTTTATTATACATATATACGTACTGTACTCTACATATACATACATATTATGTATGTATGTATTATATATATACACGACACATCCATGTATACACGGAACGGCGGACAAGGATCGGGACTATGGAACAGTTGGAAAGAAATGGAGAAGAGGAAGGAACTTTATTACGATGTGTAATGTTCATTGAATTCATAAATAAACGTGAAATTGTTGGAAATAATCGAAACTAAAAGTTATAAATGTGGGAGCTAGTCGGAATGTGGTGCTTTCAGATATGAAAATCTCCATATTAAATGGACAAAAGAATCTAAAGCAAAGACAGCCGAAAAGTCCGCTACACAAAGTGCCAGCGGGCCCCCAAACTTGAGGCTCTCTCTCTCTCGCTGTCTCTGTGGTGTTCTCTTGTATGCTAAATTCAAGGCAAAGCTTTCTTTCATTCCACTTTCTTGAGGCACGCTCTTGCTCGTTGACCGGGCCTGAAGAAGCAATAGCAGGCGGCAAAGCCAGAGGCCCACTGGTGGAGGTTCAACGTCTGCTGGCTGCCACACTCTTGGCTCAGTTTCAGTTCAGTTGTTGCACTTGACGCGTCTTGTTCTGTTCGCGCTGCGGATCAAAGAAAATCGAGAAAACCCAACCCCGACTCCCAAGGAGGCCAAAATTGAGACCGAGAACCCATTATTGTGTGCGTGTCGGAAAGAAGTTGATTGCCAGAAGACAAAGATTGTCGCATAGAGCATGGATTATCGTTTACTGTTGGTATGTGTCATTATGTGAAAGGGAGTGGGAATGGGAGCCCCGTAGCTGGTGCTAACTGTTTCTGTCCAAGCCTCAAGTTCGTTGGCCAAGTCATTTGTTTTGCAACACTTACGGTACTGCTGTATGGCTGGGAACCAATGGCCCCATGCGATTCTGGAGCATGCTAATGAATTAAACTAACTGTCGAGTGGTGTGTCAGGGAGTGGGGGTTTGGCTCCGTTCTGGTCGGTTCTGTCCCGTTCCGTTCCGTTGATGTGTGCTTGGGTGTCGGAGCAACTTTCCCGTTAGCCACGGCATACACACATTTAGAACACACACGCCACCCCAACGAGTTCTCTGGCTGGAGGAGCCTCCTCGGGAATTGTCGACCGAAATGCGGTCAATCTCAATCTCAAATCTGCAATTAGGCTACAAATATTTACCATGCAAATTCTTGCCTGTTGTTTTTTATCTGTCTGTATGTGTGTGTGTGTATTTGTTTGTGTTTCTTTTTTGGTAAGAAACGAGTTTTAGCCTCATTAGAATGTCCCACAGCAGAGGGAAACAAAAGAACTCAGTCTTTGACCCAATTTCCCTTTATACGGAATTCAAATTTGTGCCGTGAATCATGTCACGAAGTCAAGAGATGAACAGCCAGCCACAGTGTGGCTCTGTGGAGATACCTGTTAAAAGGGGTAGCGGGGGGCAGCTGTGGCAGTGACTGCGAAATTCCAAAGTGTCTCTAAGACTGCAGCCAGCCGCCCGCACCGCCACAAAAGAGATGTTACTTACCGACTTGACCTGAATCTCTTTGTTGAACTTTTGATTTCATTGAAGTGGCCAGAATTTCAGGGAAAGTTCCCCAGTCCACTGGCCCCCCTGGTCCCCGCCACTTAATGGTCAAGTGAGCAGCAGAAACGAGGCCCATCAAGATGCAAAGATCACAGCCTCAGTCGCAGCCATGGATCTCAGTTTCAGTTTGGGTTTCAGTTCATTTTACAGTGGTCGGGTTTGTTTATCTTCAAGCCCGCAACTTTCGCGCTTTCGCCAAACAACAAAAAAATATCTCAGATAGTGAGAGAGAAGGGGAGAGACAGAGAAAGAGAGAGAGAGAGCATTTCTTTCCGCACAATGCGGGACCATTCATGCTGACTTTGACTTCAACTCGAAAATTAATTTGATTTATTTGTCCCCCCCCTCGGTGACTGTCTTCACTCATTTTGTTTTTTTTTGTGTCTTAGAAAATTCTCAGCTTTCTGCTGCTGGCCCACTTGGGTCTCGGCCAGCCCCAGCAGTCGCCCGCAACGGATTACGGCGAGGAGCAGCCACCCGAGGGCTACTACGCCTTTGTCGAATCCCCGAATGCCGTGCCACCCAGGGTCCGGCCACCGCCGTACACCTTCGTGAATGCCGACTGCAAGGATGTGGCGGCGGGCAAGAAATCGGCCGTCTCCGTGCACAACATCTGCGGGGATCTGAACAAGGGACAGATACCCAAGAATCCACTCGGACAGAATGTGCTCGGCGAGCCCTATCCCTTGTAAGTCTTCCACCCGATCCTCAACAGTTGTGAGCAGCGTTCCTAAGGGACTTCCATTCCTTTCCCCCCCTCACAGCGAGCTCATACGCAATCAGACATTGAAGTTCTTGTCGAAGACTCTGCCCGTGCTGAAGGCTGACGATACCTTGCCCAAGGTCACCCAGATCATACGCGATGAGCCCGTGGAGCAGCTGGACAACAACAACATCGACAGGCCCTATCCTGGCTCTGGTTCCACCCGCGTTCGTCGCAGTCTGCCCGATGGCATAGAATCCAATGAGTACAGCTACTTCGATCCCGCTCTGGACGAGGAGAACGGACACCAGCAGCAGCAGCGGCAGCGAGAGCAGCAACAGAAAAGAGCCGCCGAAGAGCGTAAACCACGAAAATTCTGCGATGGCGGTGGCGTGTAAGTAGAGATGGAGGAATTTTTGAACATAATCTTCCACAGAGCCAATATCATTCATGACGAAACTTTCTCCCTTAGATTCTGCACTTTGTATCGGGCCATTCAGGGTGATGGTGGCAGTGCCGCCGCTGCCACGCCCACAGCAGAGCGACGGGAGGAGGTGGGACCCATACGGTACGAGGGTCCGCCCACACCCTGCCCCGCCAAGGTGGAGTATGCCACGCCAGTGTTCGCCAAGAATTACCAGGGCGCCTGGCGCTATGTGGTCCAGATACCCTACGAGGGCTACTTCACGCAGACGGTGGAGGTGACGCGCTGCATCCAGGCCAGGTGCCACTATCTCGATGGTGGCTGCCTCTCCTCGCCGCGCTGGGTTAGCCTGCTGGTGGCAGAGATCTTCTATCCCAATGCCGAGGACACGGTGCCCACCAGCTCGACGACCACACCGACGCCATCCGTGCAGGACTTCCAGGCCTATCAGCAGTACCTGCAGAAGCGTGCCGGCGTCGCCACTGCCTCCGATGGCACTTCCTCCACGGGCCCCAATGGCGCCGGAGCGGGTGCGGCGCCGCCGGATGCCCATTGCGATGGCCACGATGAGCTGGGCTGCTTCCAGGTGCGTCTCTACTACGACTGGTTCTTGATACCCGGCTCCTGCAAGTGCTGGCGTCCGGACTACTTTGCCAAATACGTGCGTCGGAAGTCGGTGGCCGATTTGTGAGAGCTGCAAGCGAGATCTTTGGATCCGTAGCCTAGCATTAAGTATACGCTTTAGCAGTTAAGCGTGTTGGATCGAGATGAAGTGCTCATTCTAGTGATCCCAGCGGAGGATTCACTGGGATTGCGCAGAGTTTGCAGTTCGTGGCAGATACCAGAGACACACAACTCCAACTTAGGCGATTAGCTCCCTCTTTGACTGATTAAGCCAGGCGCATTGAATTTCTACTAATAAATAAATATACAAATATATTTCTCCTAAAATGCTGGCCATCGCTCTGCTCCGCGCTCGCTCTTCGCTTCGTTTCGCTCCCGGGGATTTAGGCTAGGCCAAACCGCTTCCGATGCCAAAGTGTGTGTGTGTCGTCTCCTTGTGCTCTTCGTGAGTATCTTTGGGCTAGTGTGTGTGTGTGTGTGTGTGTGTGTGTGTGTGTGTGTTTGAAAGATCCACCGAAAAAAACACAAGCAACAGCAGAAACCAGTCCCGCCGCCAGTCAACCAGTTGCGCATGCGTGCCCGCCACAGTCTCGGGACCCATAGTCGTCGTCGAGTGTGCAGTCAACAGCACAACCAGTCGGTTGGGTTTGCTTTGGTTTGGTTTGGTTTGGTTTGGGTGTTTTGGCCGGGCGCTGGACCGAACTGAAGCGACGCTGAGCACTGGAAGTGCATTCAATTCATTACATACACATTGAAGGCAACGCCACCGCCGCCACTCGAGAATAGGTGCAAACTAATTTGCGCAAAAAGCCTTGACGAACGGCCTCAAAAGGCTGCCTGCCACAAAAAAAAGCGGACTCAGAATTGCTCCAAACATTTCCGCATAGCACTTGGCACGGTAAGTACTCAAAGTATTTGTTTTTGAATTGCATTTGCCAATGGGAATTTAACATCAAAAGTTGTAGCTCAAGGATCCAGCAAAATGAGTTCAAACTTGGGCCAAGACAAAGTTGAGAAGGATAAGTCCACCATTCAGCTTGCAGGACGATCGCTTCAGTGACATTTATGTGATTTTATAATTCAATATTTTGCATCTACCATCAGAAACATTGCTGTGCCTTCTGCAAGTGTGTTGAAATACAGTTTATGACGTGAGTCTTTCCTTGTGGCAGATGATGTGAGCCATGGGTTAGGCAATTCTTTTTGGTTTTCCCAGCATACATTCCATGACAGCTCCATCGCTGCTCCGTTGTTGACTGAATCATGAGAGATTCAAACGGGGGCCTCTCATGAATATTCAGTTATGCATTGAGTCCACTGCGTGGGACCATCTCTAATCCGCGCACACACTTTCCATTTTGGGTCTCTCTTGCAGGTGAAGATGTTGCGGCAGAACACCAGCACCAGCATGCTGGCCCTCAACACCAGCGACGCGCACAATGGGCAGTCCCTGGACATGGATGCGCTGCCCAAGCAGTTTGTGCTGTCCATGAAGAAGCTCTTCGACATACTGGACGATAAGCAGAGTGGCTATGTGAGGTATGTGGATATCGAAAAGGGTTGGCAGGACGACGGATCGAAGGGACTGCCGCGCGGTGTCCTCGACTCGCTGCGCCGTGTCACGCCCAGCTGTGGCCTGCTCTCCTTCGAGCGCTTCTGCGCCGGACTGAAGCTCTGCCTGCTGCGCAATCAGCAACAGATGAGCGAGACCAAGATTCGGCCGAGATCCCAGCCGCAAAGTCTGGGCGCAGAACTGGAGTACGGATCGCCAGCACCGCCGCCTAAGCCACCGCGTCAGTCAGCAACAGTGACCACATCTCCGCCGGCTTCTTTGGGCAAGGCAGACATTCGCCATGCCCTGCAGAACTGGCAGCTGAATCTGATGCACAGCGAGCGGGATGCGAGTGCGAATGCAGTCAAGCAGAAGTCGCTGACGCTGAAAACAGCCCGCGAGCAATTCGAGCATCGCGGGTCCGCGGATGGTGGCTCATCATCCACCTCGGCCTCGGCCACTGACTGGAGCCTGGCCCTGCCACCGAAGAAGTCGAGCAGCAAGCGACGCGAGTCGCGCAGGCACACGCTGCAGAACGGCATCGACTACAACATGCTGAAGCGACTCAAGCACCTGGAGGAGCAGCGGGAGCTGCTGCTGTTCGGCCTGGACGGGGTGGAGAAGGCGCGGGACTGGTACATGCAGCAGGTACTCAACGTGCAGGAGCAGATCAAGTATTTCGGGCGACTCGGAACCAGATTCGTGAGTATAATAAGGTCGCTTGGTCGCTTCCAAGTTTAATTATCCACTCCATCCACCGCAGGATCAATGGTCGGAGCTGCAGCAGGAGCGTCTTAACTTCCAGCGTGCACGCGTTCTGGAGGCTAACCGCAGTCTGGCCATTCTGGCCGACACATGGGAGCATGGCGGATATCCGCTGCACATCAATCTGGCCATGCCGTCCAAGCTCTCCGATTTGCTGGAACGTGGCAGTCTTTACGAGCAGCATCAGCAGCAGCAGCATCCGCACCAGCTCCAGCAGTTCCACAATATGCGTGCCATTTCAAATTTCGTCCTCAGCCAGCCCTCCCCCGAGAGCCAGTCCTCCGCAGGTCTGGGCGACGCCGATGTGGTCTACTAGGGTACTAGGGAAGAGGTCTTGGACTACTTTGTAAATAGTTTGTGTATTATTAAATGGCTCAACAGTCTGTTCTAGTCTAGAGGGGATTGGGGAAGCGACGCATATACTTGTTCAGCTGCTTGTAGTTGAGGTTGTTGCCCGGCTGAACGACGCCTTGGTTGATGGTCTTCTTGGCCTCGAACTTGCGGTCCATGTAGCACTTGAAGCAGTTCTGAAACTTCTGGATCTCCTTGTCGCAGTACTTCTCCACAAACTCGTTGTCCTTCATGCAGGCGAAGAGCACGCCCATCTCCTGCAGACATGCCACATCCGAGCCGGAATCCGCCTTGCCGCTCACCGTGTTCTTCAGGCGCAGCGGCAGAATCTCTTGGAATGGCACATCCTTCTCGTTCTGCGGCTTTCTGCCACGTGCGGCATAGAGGGCCCCGGGTACGCGCATTTCTACGGAAAACACCACACAATCAGTTCTTGCCTTTTTAGTCAAATAAATACAATTCTTACCAATAATAAGCGTTTTCTTCGCTTTCAATTCAGTCAGCTGTGCCGGTTACGTCAAACACGTGTATTTGCGCTTTACAACACTCTCATAATTCAGGTAAACGAGGCTACACAACACTGCAACAATAAATAAAATATAAAATAAAACAATAAATAAAAGCAAGGAAAGGAAGGCCAAGAGACAGAGGCCATCACTGGACCGCCACTTATTAACGACCACGCGTCATGGAAGCCGCCCAGAATTCCGGACAGGCGGCACAGCAGCTCGTTGGGCCAGCAGACGCGGTGCGTGAGGAGGAGACGCACCAGCCGCACCAACATCCGCTGTCGAACGGTGTGGGCAGTCTGAAGCGCCAGATCAGCCGTTTCCATCCATATCATGGATCAAACATCCAGCTGGATGACGATTCCACTGTCGCCTATCGCAGGGCGAGCTTCGCCGATGCATTGGCCTTCTCGGAGCGTCCTCTGGCGCCGGGCGACATATTCCTAGTGGAGATTGAGCAGATCGAGCGCGGATGGTCCGGCCACATGCGCCTGGGCCTCACCGAGCTGGCTCCCAATGTGATCGAGGCAAGCGCCGAGGGCCTTCCACACTTTGCCCTGCCAGACCTGGCCAATATGGGCAACAGCTGGATATACCCGATATCCAAGTTCGATATGAATCAGCGGCAGGAGCCCGTCGACATCATCGAGCCGGACACCTATAGTCAGTCACACCGTGAGTAGACCACGTAGCCATCTAGCAGTGAAGTTTTTTTGGTAACGCTCCTGCTCCTCTAGGAAACCTTCTGGGCGATGCCCCACATATAAGGACGCCGCGTGGCCTGCTGCCAAAGAGACTGCTGCGTCCGGCCATGGGCAAGGGAAACTCTGACATTCTTCTCACCGACAGAGGCTCGCGCATCGGCATTATTTACGTGCCCTCAAGCAACAGCCCGTCCAGAGGCGAGCTTCATTTCATCATTAATGGCGTGTCCCGTGGACCCGTCGCCAGAGAAATTCCTTTAAATATGGCCCCCCTGTTTGTTGTTATCGATGTGTACGGCACAACCAAGCAGATTCGCATTATCCAGCTCGAGGGCAGTAAGTGCAGTCAATCAAGTCGATGTTTTTGACGTATTTTTGTAACCATCTACCCCTTCGATTCCACAGTTCTTTCCCTGCAAAGCGCCTGTCGCAATGTCATCCTGGAGAACGTTCCAGAGAATGCGATTGGCCACCTGCCACTGCCGGAAAGCATCAAAAGATTCCTGCTGCGTCGAGACTAGGGTCACACATATATTATATAAATGGCTCTATGTAATAGAGTTCCGTGTGAATGTAGAGAGAGAGAGAGAGTGTGTGTGAGACAGTGTGTATGCATGAGCGTGGATCGTGATAGTCTGTTTACCCATATTTTTATAAGCATGTAACACAAGTACCAGCATCAGTAGCAGCCACAACTGAAGTGCCCGTACGTTGACTCTTGATTCCAGACACCAGGCGTCGAGGGCCGCATCTAATGGATTGGATTGGTGACGATGCACTCCGGTAACTTCCGTTAGCCACGACTTCCCAGTTGAGCACTATACAATACCATTCCCCTGGTCACCCTCCTTTCGCTGTGGCGGGCGTATAATTGTAAAATGTTCTAGTTATAGTTTTGATCGGTCTGGTTTCGTTAATTAATTTTTTTTGAGAAAACTATGTTTGAGAACATAACCAATCGTTATCCAACTCAATAGGAGAGGATGCCATGCCCCTATCTGGGAGGACATTTACGATTATCTACCAGCTGCAGAGCACCAGACCGGACCCAACACACCGCCCTGCCTTTTAGCGTTTCGGTTCCGATCCATTCAAGACTGTTTCCGTTTGCTTTACTCCTAAGTGATTGTTGCTAAATGTAAGTTATGAGTGTAATAAAATAACGAACGAAGTTGCTGTAATCCGTCGAATTCCATATTCCTCTAGGGGATGCAACACTAAAGCCGTTTATTCAAGCAAAGATAATTGTATGTATGTAAAGATATAGAATATTAGATAGGCAGACTCTAGAGGGCCTACTTGCCGCGATTCTCGGCCAACTTGGCTTTAAAAATGACCTTCAGCTCGTCGGCTCCATCTCCGTTCACCTCCTGGTAATAGGGCAGCTCAGCCACACGCTTCAGCCAGGCTTGGACCTTGGGGAACTTGAATTCATCAATTGGAGCAGCATCGTTTACCGAAGTGACTGTGGCCACGGCACAGAAGTCGGCAATGGTCAGATCACTGCCGCACAAGTAGGGCTGATCCTTCAGAAAGCCCTCCAGAATATCGTAGCACTTCTGGATGTACGCAATCTTGTCAATGGAACAGTCCGTCGAGCCGTAGTATAGGATGGGCTCATACAAGAAACGAAGGCGTGCGAACAAATGACCCGAGTCCAGATGCAGACGCGCATCGACATTGGCGCGCTGCACTAAGTCCTTGGGGTAGAGCTGCTGGTGCTCCTTTCCGTATTTCTCCACCAGATAGGCACAAATGGCGTGCGAGTCGATTATCGTTGCATCCCCATCGATCAGGGTGGGGATGGTGTGCTGGGGGTTCAATTTAATGAATTCTGGCGTCAAATGTTCACCTTTTAGCAGGTTAATTGGCCTGGACGTGTGGAAAATCTTCGGTTAATTGGTTTATATATGGGAAACTATAGCTGTGGGAACTTACCGCAGTTCAAGATCAAGGCCGATCGCCTTGGCCGTGAGCAGAACGGCGCGAGAGGGAGGACTCAGCGTGGCATAGTAGAGGGCTGGCTTCGACATGGTTGTTCTGTGAATATCTGTCGGGAAATTAGTTGGACGAACTCTAGAAGCCACCCACCCACGAGCTTAACTTCATTAAACAGAGTGAACACACTCTTACCCCACGGGAATATCAGATAACCTCTAAGCTATAAACAAAGATGTACACACACACATACATATGTTTAAATATATATGTATATATATGAAGATAAGTCACTATCAGAGGGCACTCAACATAGAAACGAGCACCTGTAGGAATTTTACTGGCAGCCCCGTCAGCGCTTGTCTCCACACATAAGCATGTATGAGTAACCACCCAAACTATCCCTGGGATAGGGAAATTAAATTTACGAAACAAATGTAATTAGCGGTCCAAGCACACACACACACACACATTCACACTGTAAAAAGTATATGTAGATGTTGGAAAAGCACAGATCGTGCCTTTTTTGTGTGTTTCTCTTGCTGGCTCACTCTCTCTCGCAGCGTACATATATATGTTTGTTTGCCGGCAGACTGCAATACCCTTGAAGAAGATATTCATCCTCGCCAGGTGTTTGAAACGCTTGCAACATTCCGATCCTAAGAGGCATTAATTTACAATTTGTTGATGCAATAACGTAGTTTTACAGTCCTGTCGCAATGGAACGTTGCACAGAACCTTCTTATTCACTCAATATTTGTATAGCGCGCAGTGATATTGTATCTGTCAGGGTATCAAATGGTCGCCACCCCAAAGCATGCCTCCCCCTCTTATTTTATAGTGCTAATGCAGCAGAAGTGAGTGTGTGTGAGTTGGGGGGACGGACTCTACGCTGTTAGCGTTTGATTACTCCCATCCCCTCCCCTTTAGAGATTATTATTTCACATTTGTTTAAGCGCACAGCACAGCACAACACAGCGAAACACTCACACAATTTTCTATGACCGCTCGCTGCAAACTCGGAAAAGTAAATGTGGGAATGGAAGAGAGAACCTGGAGCAGCAGCGTAACGAAACGAAACGAAACGCAACGCAACGCAAAAGGCAAACCGCAGATTGAACGCGGCTACGGACACAGCTGTTTATCGTGCTGTTTCATTTGTTATAGACTTTAATTCATAAACTTTTGGTACAGGTTAAATCGCATTATGTTTAGGGTCTACGAGTATATGATTACCGGTAATTTAATAATTGTATGTAGCGTATATATGAACGTACTTAAAGAGCTTATACATAGATATGCAGTAATACCAACGTTTTTCATCCGCACACGGCAGACACAGACGCGCAATTCCTTGAGCCCAGAAGAGGAACAGGAAAAGGCTCGAAGCCTGAATCAAGAGACTATAAGTTAGAGTAATAAAATGGTGTCGTATAGAACATTATATGCACTTAATTGGAGATTTCTTATTGATCGATCACACACTTCTGTTTCGTTTTGCACCCTCAATTGTCGAGCATGCTGCGCTTGAGCGCCTCCTCCAGGTCAGCGTCAAAGCTCTCCGGCTTTGAGTAGTCCGCCGCGTATCTATCCTTAGTTTGATCTTTTTTGGCCCCGGCATTGTGCGTGCCCTCCGGGAAGCCCTTGCCAAAGTCGCTCGAGAAGTTGTGGACATCAAAGGCTTCAAATTTGGCAAAGTTGTTGTCAAGTTGAGTGGAGTTGGCCGGCTTGCTGCCTCCAAAGCTGTCCTCGAAGTTGTCGTTGAAGGCGTCGCTGCTAACGGCAAAGGCATCGAACGTCGCCGTCCTGCTCGCATTGATTTGTTGGCTGCCTAAAGCTTTTGTGGCCGTTATCGGCGATGAGCCGGTGGCTGTGATTGAGTTTTCGTTAGGCTTAAAGTTATCATTAAATGCATCGAAGAAGGAATCGTTGAGTTTCTTGGTCATCGTCGTCGTAGGGGTTGTGGTTGTAGCTCCAACTGATCCCGATCCGAAGTCATCAAAGTCTGCAAACGCATCCAGCGCCGTCTGGGACTTTGTGTCTTTCTGTGAGGCATTCGAGTGGTGCGAGGATGGGGCCGGACTCGCATTCAGATTGAATGCATCGAACTGCTGCATTATATCGTTGTTCAGTGGCGTTACAGCTCTCGGTTTGGTGCTGTTGTTGTTCATGTTTTTTACGTTGTTCAGGGTCTTCACAGCGGCGGTTCCCATCTCATCTGAAATATGGAAATGCTATCAAGATGAGATTCTGACAAACGCACTATGCATACGCACCCTCTGAGCTAAAGTCCTCGGCAAAGTTCTTTTTGTGGGCCTCTCCCTTAGAGCCAACCTCCTGATCCTCCTCCTCGTCATCGGCAAAGGGGTCTTTGATGCTGAACGGGTCTTCATAGCGGTAGTCCTTGAACGGATCATCTTTGAAGTCTGTGGGCCCCGTGATGAGGCCTGGCGTTGGTGTCTTCGCATTGACGTTTGCTTTGCCGCCGCCAAAGGCATCAAAGAGACTCGCTTCCTGGCCCAGGCTTATAGGGTTTCCCACTCCCGTTGGGGCTTGCGCCTGGAGCGGTGTGTTGGAACGCGGCAAGTGTTGGTTATTTAAGGTGGTGGACAGGGTGGAGGTGGTGCTGGTGAGGGCGGGAATTTTGGGCGCTGTCGTCAAGGATGACGATGTCGCTGGCAGTAGGGGGTGCAGAGGTGTGCTGGCGACCTTGGAGCCTGGTGCCGCATCATCGAACAGGGAGAAGCTGTCTAGCAGCGAGGCATTGATCGCTGGAATAGGGGTGGCCGTGCCCATTGGCGTGGGCGTGGCTGCGGGCGTGCTTGGAATGTCCTGGTGCTGTTCGGATGTGTGCGGGAAGGTTTTACGAGTGCGTGGGTGAGGAGGAAAAATCAAAAAAATTAAAAGTAAATCAAATTGTAATCAAATCCAATCGAGTCGAACTTATAGGCAAAAAGAATAAAAAAGTCAAACGAAAGCTTTAAAGCACACATCGCAAAGGTGGGGGCTTAGGAGGAGGAGGAGGAGGAACACGACCATTAGCATTACCATTACCAGAACCCAGGGAAAGCATTCCTCTCCTGCTCCCCATATAACTCTCTCTCTGACGTACGTGGAATGATGTCGAACATAGATATTTCTCTTTATTAATAATGCAAAACGTTTTCTCTGTTACATTTTGGGTATCGGTTAGGTTGCGGGCTCCCTTTATATGCGTGTATATGGATATATTTATATTATATGTACGGACCCATGTGATGCACAGAAAAATCAATGCATGGGAAGCTTGTGGGAGCAAGTGTGTGTGTGTGTTATGTGGGTTTTATTATAATCAAAATCTGACAATTATATAGCTGGATACTTGGAGGCTAAGCTATACCCCTTAGATTCCTATATTTTATGTTTTAATTCTCATCTGATGCAGTTTCATTAAATAGTAGTGGGGACGCTCAGGCCAACTCCCCCATAAAATTCAAAATATTCTGCGGCAGTTACATTCATAATCCATAATATGTGTATGTGTACGATTTCAAATGTTGTATTATCGTTAGTATTATCGCGTATGCAGAAACAACAAACAACTTGCATTTAAATTCCCTTTAGAGAGATCCTTCTCTTGACTAGCAAATGAACAAACCATCCAAGAATGTATGACTAGTTAAGATCCTCCAGTTGAGATCATTGATATTTAAACAATTCGAGGGAAGTCTCCATAACATAATCGTAATATTAAGTTAAATACAATATATTGCACAACATTTCGGAATCGAACTTTGAATCGAGCTACGTTTATCCATCCGTTTCCTCCCATCTTTCTATCCATATATATCGTTTAGTTTTCTTTTCTTTTGGTTTTTGACTACATTTATAACACGACGAGATGTAACGCTTGGAATTTGTTTGAGTTTTTGAATTGATTTAGTACATTTAGCTAATTGGAGGCATGATTGATAAGTCTGTATGGGCAGGGCTCTGTCTCTCCTCTGCCGTGCACGTACCATGACTAACACGAGACGAGTGTGTTTAGGTTTGGTGTCGTGTAATTTAATATGTGTTGTGGTTCGCCATAAACTTTTCTTTGTACGCTTCAAATCGATTTGCAATGCTGCTAGAGGAGGAGGCTCTCCCATTAACTGACTGTTTGTGTGTGTGTTTTTGTGTTAGTACTGATATTATGTATATTATATACGAGTATATATATGTATATGTATATATATATGCATTATAGAAATGTGATTATTCT